ACTAATTGAAATCCAAGTTCAAATCAGATCCCTCCATGATGCAGAATTATAGATCCCGTGACATGTTTATGAACATCCTCACAGGCCACGAAAGGTCAGGGGTTTTATTTCTTGGCCACAGCATACGCAGTAATGTTGGTATCTGTAACCTGCAATCCATTTTCTTATCACTTAGCAATGTTTAAGGAGCAATGTATGACTACAAATTTTAAAAATATACATTTATTTATTTTGTACATTTAATTTGTAATTACAGCCCTTGGATAAACATTTTAAGACGGAGTTCCAACACAGCAGGGCTACTTGCTCCAAAGGCATCAGTATATATTTCTTAAAATTTTATTTATTTATTTTTTTATACAACAGGTTCTTATTTGTTATTTATTTTATACATATTCGTGTATATATGTCAATCCCAATCACCCAATTCATCCCACCACCCACCCCCGCTTTCCCCCCTTGGTGTCCATACACTTGTTCTCTACATCTGTGTCTCTATTTCTGCCTTGCAAACCAGTTCATCTGTACCATTTTTCTAGATGCCACATATATGCGTTAATATACGATATTTGTTTTTCTCTTTCTGACTTACTTCACTCTGTGTGACAGTCTCTAGGTCCATCCACGTCTCTACAAATGACCCAATTTCTAGTATTACCACCTTTCTGCCCTTTCCTTATATTTTCTCATTTGAACCTCACAGCAAAAGAACATGATTTTTTGTATGTGAATGAGAGGCCGCACTTGGTTTACAGACACAGAGTAGTAGACCCAGCTTTTGGCTGGGTAAATAGGAGAAAATATGCTAAAAGAGAAGGACCTTTTGACTAAAAATTCCCTTATCATCCCAAATTCATAAGTGTGGAAGCCTCATATATGACACAGTGGCTTCAATTGTGCTGGGAGTCACAGAAATACAGCTTAAGAATCTTATAGATACTGTGAGTAAAGAAAGTCAAAGATTGATGCACAAATTATTATTCCACACATTTCACAGTGGCTATCAGAGCACGAGTGAACACACAACAGGAAACAGAAAGAGCACTGTTATCTGCCAAAATTACTCAAGCAGCATTTTAAATAGACTTCTGTAAATTAAAGTCAGGAGAGGACCCTTACAGCTAATTTGGTAATTTTTTAAAGGAAGGAATTGAATAAGAGGACCATAATGAAGCTTCTCTTATTATAGCAAATCAAATTTTTAATGAACTTTCCCCATTTAAATTTTTTGGGAGAAAGGAAAATAGAAGGCATCTAAGAGCCCTAAGCATGGGATGTCTCACCTCAGACCAGCTGAAGCTGAGGAGGAAGGATGTCTATGTAAACACCAGCAGTGGCTGCCTTTGAACATGGAATTTATTGTTTTCCCTCCTCCACTGTTTTATAGGATGGGGGTCAATAATTGAGCAGCTTTCTCCAGGAATGATTTTGGGAAAAGAAGATGCTCACTGAAGCTACCAGTCAACAAAACTGTACTAAAAAAATCTATTTAAATTTGGCTGCCTCTTTGCCACTCAGTCCCTAGCGATTGTAACCCAGCAGCCTTTCGAGGCCCTTTTTACACAGTCTCAAGCTCCCCACTACGTAGGCACGCCTCCTAAAGAAGACTATCAGAAAACTGTAATCTTTGGATATTCCCTAGATTTAGCACAAGACTCCCTGCCAGTCAGAAGAATATAATATTTTTTCTATATTCCCCACCAGTTCTCTCTTCCTTTCCCTCCATTTTTTTTTCCCCTCCATTTTTGTTTGTTTTTATTTTGCTAAGCTGTGAATTCAACTTTGCCCTTTTCAGGCTAGATAAGAACAAATTTCACTGTCAGGAAAATCATCTTATAAGAAATACCCATGGATAAACAACAGGGACCTACTATATAGTACAGGGAACTATATTCAATATCCTGTGATAAACCATAATGGAAAAGAATATGAAAAAGAATAAATATACTGTATATATGTATAACTGAATCACTTTGCTGCACAGCAGAAATTAACACAATGTTGTAAATCAACCATACTTCAATAAAATAAATTTTAAAGAAAAAGAAATACCCAAATTGAGCTCTATATGAGAATAATTGAAAACAGTTTTCCTCTTCTACCAGTGGGATGTACAAGCCCTAATCAGTACCCTCAGACAGCTGATCTATCAGGTTTTCCTCCTAAACTTCTAGATAAATTATCATCTTGATTTGGGAAGGCCTTTAAGTGAATATATTCCAGAAATTACAATACACTGTAAAAGCTGAGCTTAGCATTTCAACATTCAGACCCTTCTAAGCAACAGCACATTAAAAAAAAAAAAAAAAATCTCTCTCTCCAAATTGCCCCAGAATCTTCACAGTATTATCAGCTTCTACAGCGATTTGCTGGCAGGTTAAGACAGGTCAGCAACAGCAGTGTACAGACCAAAAGCTCGGAACCTACAGCACTGACTGTAATAACTTCCATTTTGGGACAAAATAAAATTTGACATGAAAAACCGACTTAGTTCCATCTTCCTTTAACTCAAGCAGTGGCTCTACTCTTACAGATTAAGCTGAAAGAACTTTGACCTGTATTTATAAATATTCATAATGTATCTTGAATTTTGACTTCCCTGAACTGTTACTAAAGCAAGTTTCTTGTTAATGACTGCTTGTCAGGAAATATTTATTTCACATTTATGAGCTTGATCTTTGTATCAGACATATATCAGATTTCCTATGATCTTTCTGTAGCATTTAACACCATGTTGCCACATACTGATTTCAATGTTGAAAACAGTTTCACAAAGAAACCATTCATGACAGGAAAATATATATATATCATTGTTCAATCCAATAGAATTTACTGAAGGAACAAACATTCACTTGAATCCCCAAATCTCTTCCTTAGTATAGAGGACTCAGATTCTGAAGATTAACTTTTGTATATTCTTAAGGTCAAGAAAGTAAGCAAACTCCAAAACAGATGAATAAGACTCAAACTTCAAAGAAATCCATTAATTTGAAATTTAAAACATAAAAAACTAAGGTCCTCTTACCTCCCTTACTGACCCCTTCCCAATTTATGAATACACAGATTTTCATTTTATTTTCCTAGAATCACTTTCACTGAGAATGTATCATTACATTCTAAAAGGTACAATCCAGGTGTTCAAAACTGAACTAAAAGGTACAATCCAGGTGTTCAAAACTGAACCAGTTGGTTTTAAGGATGTGACGGTGTGATAAGAAAATACTGGAGGTGACAATATCCAACATATAAACCAAGTATGTTCCCCCTGGTGAGACCTCCATGAAGGTTTCCAGTGATGTTAATCCCAGTGTTCAGCAGTTACTGCCCATGACCAGAGCTTCCACTAACAAGTTCCAGAAAATGCTCAGAGTTTCATGCTAATCAGATGCACCAGTTACCAATTCCACTTATTGTAAGGATTAGGAAATGAGCAACTTTTCTCAGTTGTACTATTTATGTCCCCAAAAGGCATTTAAGACTAATAATTTTCCTGTGAATATACCTTCCACTCTGTCCCGTGGGTTTTGGTGTGACCTATTCTTTTTCTTTGCTTTTGGCATCCCTGATTACTTTTTCTTTTAATTTTGTCTCTGCTCCAAGGTTTATCTGGAAATCCATTTCTTCATCTCAAAAGAGTTTATATTTTTCATTTTTATATTTTTACATTAATTGGATTATGGTCAGAGAATATGCCTATAAAAGCTCTACTTTTCAAAAAAGTTTAAGGTTTACTTTGGGACCATGTACATAATCATAACTAATTTTATTTGAAAGCTATGAATTTTTATATGGGTGTGTATCTATGTACTCAACTTTTTTTATTGTATTATTAAATTCTGCTATGTCTTTGTTTTGTTTTCTTTTAAATCTGTCACATTCTGAAAGAAGACAGTTGAAATGTTCCACTTATCTTAAAGTTCTTCTTGCATTGCTCTTATTTCATTTATTTAGCTTCAGTGCTTTTGGTGAGTATGATTTACAACTTATAGCTCTCCATAAAGTCTGTCTTTTTAACATAATGTCCTGAAACACTTTGTTTCTTCTTCCTCCTCTGTGATGCAGCCTGCACTTTTTTCCTCAGTATCTATTTTGCTATCTTTCCCTCCTTTACTCTGCCTCAAAATAAAATCTGTGTTGTCCAGACTTTCTTGCAGTTAGGTATGGCCATGAACTAAGTTGTGGTCAATGAAATGTAACTATAGAAGTCATGTGGCAGCTTCTAGGAATTTCTCTAAGACTCAGCATGCAAGCTCTAGCTCTGCCAGCTGTCTTGAATCCCAATTCCTTTCTTGTTGGAATTGTTGATCCTCTAAGATTCAACCATATCCTTCACTTGGTCCATGCACCATGTACCTTCCTTAATGAGATCCCCTTGGCTGGCCCAACCATTCTTGATTCCCAGCTACCTTCCATTAACTCCTTCAAACAGCAAAATATTTTCAGATATTTTGGCAAAACAGTATTTAAATAGACCATAGTGCTATTTCTACTTGACTGTGGCTGAAATGTGTTGGAGAATATCATTTTGCAAAGCTGGATCCATTCAGAGTTCCAGATAGAAAACACACAAAATCTCCCTTTGCACTGGATAGCCAATCTATCATGTGTTTTTTATCATCAGCATTACTCGCTCAGGGTTTCAGACCTGGATTCATAATAAAAACTGCCCTGAAATTTGCTCCTGATGTGCAAATTTTCAACAGGAAAAATGATCAGGTGCCTGGCTCTTGAAACTCAAAAATGCTTTCATTTTTAGCATATCTCCTCCTCTTAAGAATTTTTAGGTCTATTTCAACACACAAAGTCAAAAATCTGAATCTTTGGTCTCATCGGAATCTTTTGCATTCTCCCTTTCCTGGCTCAATCAGATTCATCCCCAGAATTTATAGCAAGAGGGTTATAGGGAGGGAAATTAATTTTAAAGAATGAAAATATGTAGGATGATATTTGAAACTATTATCCCACTGCATATAGAACTGGAAATTCTAATAATACAATAGCATGAAGGCCAGTCTTGGTGTCAAAAGGAATTCCTTGGTATTCACACTTCTATTATGAGCTCAAGGTCCCTAGGCAAGTTGTATTATATACCTAAGCCTCATTTTTCTCATCAAAAAATGTGGAAAAATAATAACCACTTTCCAAAGTTTTATGACATTTAAAATAAGATGGAATGTATGTCAGGTAAACAGTGCAAATACCAGAACTTCTGGAACAGTGTTTATTCGAGAGAACTCACCAAGACATGAGGAGCAGGTGTGTAACTTCCCCAGGGGCAGCACACATCCCCACATTCTGGGGCACCACATAGCAATCTGGCAGAGTTAGTGTCAGACCCTAACCCTAAGAAAGAGATCCCAGTCTTGAGACATGGAAATTTTAAGCTGCATTATTGGGAAGAACCAGGCCTTACCCCAGCACAGAGGCTGGGCTCCAAACTATGTGATTATAACAATAGAAAGTAGAAACTGTGGCATCCAGTCCTGATCTGTCACCTCAGCATTCTTCCAATATTGATGGACATAATCACCAGGCTGGAGCTCTATACGAGGCCCACTCCCTCTCCGGAAGCCCAGCCTGCAGGGAATCTGTTGTCCCTACCTGTCAGTCGGTGAAATCCACAGGCACAGTGCCTGGCACATAGGTTGTTGTAAATGTAGAATGAATTGTGTGGCCATGGGGGCAATATGTCCAGTCCCTTCATAATGCAGAAAGTATGTTTGTTCTCAGACTAAATAATGCATTCAACAAGTGTTTATTGAGTGTCTTTTTTGTGCCAGGCTCTCTTCTAGGCACTTGTGATATTCCTGTTAACAAAATGCTCAGATATCAGATTTATGGAGATTCATTTTTATAAACCTCACACATAATAAGTAAATTGTATAGTATATTAGAAGATGAATCTATGGAGACGAGAATCAAGCAGAGTAAATGGAATAAGTAGTGCTGGGAGGGCGGGGGGCAGCACAGGAAAGTAGTTCTCCTTGCAAGCTTAGGTCAGGTGGTCAGAGTAGGCTCACTGAAAGGATAACATCTGAGCAATCACTTGAAGAAGATGAGGGATTAAACCTTGAGGATATCTGGGGCAAGAGCTTTTCAAGCAGAGGAAAACGTCCAGTCCTAAATTAGGAAACGCCCAATGTGTTCAAGGACTCGGTGAAACGAAGAACCACGGGAGGGTTTTAGAAAGAGAATGATATGATCTGACTCCCATTTAAAAGTCTCACTCTGGCTGTTGTGTTGAGAAGAGACTACAGGTGGTCAAGATGAAAGCAAGGAAGACTGTTAACATCAGAACAAAAAAGTTGTCAAAAAAGTACAAGCTCTTCTCTAAAAGTTTAGAGAATGGACTTGAGGACATGGGGAGGGGGAAGGGTAAGCCGGGACGAAGTGAGAGAGTGGCATGGACATATATACACTACCAAATGTAAAACAGATAGCTAGTGGGAAGCAGCCGCATAGCACAGGGAGATCAGCTCAGTGTTTTGTGACCACCTAGAGGGGTGGGATAGGGAGGGAGGGAGGGAGGGAGACGCAAGAGGGAGGAGATAAGGGGATGTGCGTATATGTATAGCTGATTCATTATGTTATACAGCAGAAACTAACACACCATTGTAAAGCAATTATACTCCAATAAAGATGTTAAAAAAAAAAGGTACAAGCCTCCAGTTAGAAGATTAACAAGTTCTTGGGATATAATGTACAGTTTGGTGATTATAAATTAAAAATTTAAATTTTATAAAGTCAGAACCAATGATGTCTGATGTTCCTCTGGGCTCAGAGCCTTCTTCCACAAAAAAAAAAAAAAAAAAAAAGCCCATTCAGGAGCAGTTAATGTCTCTACTCTTGCCAACGAAGAGATGGAGACACATTGGATGACTGCTGGGAAACCTCTGACTGTAATGTTCTGTGAGTTCGAGGGAAATGATAGAAAGGAGTCCTGATTTTCAGATACATGAAGGTTTGTTGTAAAGGCATCCCCCCAAGGACAAATACTGGAGCTCTCTTCTGTGTGTAAGACCCCCTACTCAAAGTTGGGCATGTCAAGGACTTGAGAAAATGGTCCTGTGGTGATGAGGGTAATGTGAAACTTAGAGCAGAGGGAAATTGAAAATCCAACACGCCTCAGTGAATGGCTGTGTGATAAGGATATCTGCTGTCTCATTACTCTGAACAGGGTTGAGTGATCAACAAATAGAGAAGAATGCTCAGTCCCTAGCTTTCTAGGAGATATAGGTCTTTAGCAGGACCATCTACATAATTTGCCGGGCCAAGTGCAAAATGAAAATGTAGGACCTCTTGGGCAAAGCTTACTGAGAATTTCAAGATGGCAACAGCAGAGCATTAAGCTGAGTATGAGGTCTTATGAGACTGCACAGGATTCACACCCATGAAGCTAGCCCTGGTCTTTAGCTTGAACTGTTATGACTCAAACAAATTGTCCAGATATAGTTGTTCAGACAGGAGCATGGAAGAGACCTTGCGTTACTTTGATAATAGCTCAACCTTGTGGAATAGAGAGTGAAGGCAAACTAACTGTGCCATTTGGTGTGACACATCACCTCTCCACCAACCTCTGAGCTGATGAGATGTACTTTTTTCTTGGCACCTGAAGACTGAACATAAACCCTTTAACCATGACCCTAGCAGTGGCAGAGTCCCAGGTACTAGGAGAGATCTATCTGCAGAGGAAAATAAATGTATAAAGAAGTTATTAGCCAAACCAAATAGGAGGCTGAGTTTTACTTTGAGCTATTTTACAACTTCAGAAGAAGCATTCATTGCGTTTCCCATAGGTGTTGTTTATGCAGGTGCTGGAGGAGGTCATCAAGAGGATGTGAACAGCAAACTGGACCTGAACCTGGGCAGTCGGAGGTTCCTTACCCCCTCCCTGACCTTAGAATGTACATTCCACCCACTATTCCCACACAAGGAGCCATTCTCAAGGATGCAGCCTTGAGAGAGCTATATGGTGTTGAGACCATAAACCCAGGTAAGGCCTCTATATAAATTTATAGGATTCTAGTGGGCAGGTACAGAGATCTACTTGTCCTCTGGCTACCCAGGACAAGCCTCGTAAGGAAGTTCCTTTGCTTATTAAAACTGCCACCTACCAATCTGGAGTGGTCTACCTCTTTCTTCGGCCTCTCCTTGCCCTCCATGTCTGGGAGCCAGTTTGTGAACCAACAGCAGGATACCAATTTTCTCTCTCCAGATAACATTTCAGTTTTCCCATCATAGAAGAGGCTGCATCATCATCAAAAATAATTTAGCAAAACCACCTGTGGTTTTTTGCTGAGAGCTTGGTTGTCTTCTCTTCCAAGGCTAGTAGCAAAGATGCAAAGAACCCTTAGAAGGGTGTATGTTCTAGTTAAACCCCCAGGCTCCGAAATCAAATACTTCATTCACTCATTGATTCACTCATTCATTTATTGAACAAATACTGAACTCCTATTACTTGACAGACTTGGTAGTGTCTGAAGCCTAGTGAATATCTATTGAATAAGCTGTGGACTCAGGCATTGGAGAGACAGACCTGGTATTGAATCCTGGCTTCACCACTTTGGAGCAGTGTGTGACCTTGGACAATTTACTTAGCCTCTCTGATCATCAGTTCCGTCATCTGTGAAATGGGAATGGTAATAGTATTAACACTACTTTTTATTGTCATGTGGATTAATGTATGCAAAGCCCCTGTTTCAATGCCCAGCACTTAATACACCTCAAGAAATATTACCTATCATCATTTTCATCATTATTTATTCCTATTGGTTTAACTAGACACAGAAAGGGCAGGATGTGTCTCACAAACCAGAGCTTCCATCTCTGTCACTAATTCAACAAGAATTATGAGAAATGCTCAGAGTTCACTCCCTAGTCTAAGGTAGGGTGCCACTGTGTTTTATTTTTGTTTTGGTTCTTCCTCTATTGGAGAAGCACTTGTGTGTCTTGGCATCTCTAAGATAAGAAAGAGTCCCATATGGAATCACGGTACTTGTAGGTACCACTAAGGTCCCAGTAGGTTTATCTGGGAGTTTCACATCTGAAAGAGAAAACACTACTGAAAAGCACAAGTCCCCCAATCAAAAAAGGAGGATGTGAAACTACTGGTACAAACTAGCAGCCTCAGCCCTCATGTATGTTGTGTGGCTCTTCCAGGATGGGGCAGCCAGTCCACACCAGGAGAAAGTGCAGCTAACCTCAGTCCCCAGGCCTGGAGCAGCCGTGATCTCTGCTTCTACCTTGATGCTTGGGATGTTGTTACTCCTGATAAGCAAAATCAGTTTAAAATTCTGGCTGGTTTTATAATTTCTCTTACCTCTCATTTTTAAAAAATTTATTTACTTATTCATTTATTTAATTTTTGGCTGCATTGGGTCTTCACTGCTGCACGTGGGCTTTCTCTAGTTGCAGTGAGCGGGGGCTACTCTTTGTTGCGGGGCACAGGCTTCTCATTGTGGTGGCTTCTCTTGTTGCAGAGCACAGGCTCTAGGCGCGCGGGCTTCAGTAGCTGTGGCTCGCGGGCTCTAGAGCGCAGGCTCAGTAGTTGTGGCGCACGGGCTTAGTTGCTCTGCGGCATGTGGGATCTTCCCGGACCAGGGCTCGAATCCGTGTCCCCTGCATTGGCAGGCGGATTCTTAACCACTGCGCCACCAGGGAAGCCCTCTTACCTCTCATTTTATTAAGTAAATCCAATGCTCTTTCTATTCATTATAACAAAAGCCTTGGTTTTTCAGGAAGAACCACTGGAGACTCAGTGACCCAGGCAGGGCGCCATGTGACTCTCTCTTAAGGGATGCACCTGACAGTGAACTGCACATACGAAATGTGGGTCCTCCTTCCTCTTTGTGTATGTCCAATACCCCAAATAGGTTTTAGAGTGCCTTCTCTCTGAAGCATCAGGAAAAGTGAAGAGAAAGATCACAAAGGTTTTCAGGCCCATCAGGTTAGAAGTAAAACCTTCTTCCAGCTGCAGAAATCCTCCATCCAAGCACCAGGCACAACTGTGTA